TTTTTCATCTCTCTTTTTTCCTTAGTCATACCTTCCTCTGAATCTGTGCTGATTCTCTTCTACCTTAAAGCACCTGGTGATTACATTGACCCTGCACAGATAACCTGGCATTATTTTTCTATTTGAAGGTCAGCTGATTCGCAACTTTTTTTTCTTAATTCCCTTTTGCTATGTAACCTACCCTAATCATAGGTTCTGGGCTTTGGGATATAGGCATTTTTGAAGGGCCTTTATTCTGCTTACCACATATTCCTATTTAAGTCTGAAGTCACCAGCAGGTGGCTCTAAACAGAGACCAGAATTGGGGTGGATTTGTATCAGACAGCCTGATCCATGGAATCCTACTTGCCAGTTATAGGATTCCTCATTTCATTAATCTCTCAATAGTGATCCTGACTTTTATGCAGCTCATTTTTTTGGATTCCAGTTACAATAAAAAGCCTGATAATCTAGTATTTTAGTATGAATTGACTGGGGAAGAGATGGGAGGTAGGGATTTGATTAGGAAGCCATTACACTAGTCAGGTAAAGGGGAATAAGGGCTCGGACAAGGACAGTGTGTGGAAATGAAGTAGATACGAGAGGCAGTGTTCACAGGCCTTGAACTAGGTACATGTAGGACATAAAAGAGAGAGGCAAAAGGGAGTTCTGAGGAGGTTGTCTATAGCAGAATGCTCTGTACAAGGCTGATCTATTTCAGGGATGAAATTGGTAGAATATTGAAGTGATTGGCGATAGATAGCAAAAATGAATACAATAAAATCCAGGAAGTCTCTACGGGATTGATCATAAACAATTCCAAGGTGATGGTACTAGAATAGGGAAGTTAGAAGACAGAGCCAGATCGTGTAGTACAGATGAGCTACAGTTTGGATCAGTTTCAGATGACCATAGTAGGCAGCATGAATTTTACTAAACTCCCCCTAAACTGGTGCCAGTGTATTAGTTTTCTCTTTTGTTCTTAGATTATTGAAAGATTGTTCAGATATCTGTCCCTTGAGCAGCAGCAAAGCCATGATGGTGAGGACTGTCTTTCTAAACCTAACTAATCTCTGTAAAATTCTGATCTTCCACTTACTAGCTTGGTTTCCTTGGATAAGCTGCTCACCTTCCCTCCTACAGATTCTTTCACTTTTAAAGTGCGTTGATCAGGGTGTTGTAATGATGAATGAAATCTATTCAAAAGATCTTGAACATGCTGGCATATTGTGAATATTGTCTTTTTTCCAGTGCATAGACTCTTAGACCAATGTTTCACAGTGGATACTTTATAAACCTTTACAATTACATAGTTTACTGTTTATAAGAAAGATGTCTATTAGGTGTTGTAGTTGAAATTTAATTTTCCTTAAATACTCAAACTACCTTCTGAGATAGATACTCTAACAATCCTAATTTTGTGATTTTTACATGCAAAAACATCATTGAATGCATATTACATGGAAAGTAGTATTCTAAAATGGGGAATCAAGCAATGGACAAAATAAACTACTTGATCTCATGGAGCTTAGGTTCTTAGGTTAGGTTTACATTTGTTATGATAAACATATGAACAGCTGATGATCCAGGCAAGGTGATGAATACCTAAAAGAAAAATAAAGCAGGGTGAGAGGAGAGAGAAAAATGAAGTGGTCAGTGCTATTTGAGAAACGTTGATCAGGGAAGGCTCTTCTGTACATGAACTTGGAGCAGACACGTGAAGGACATGAGGAAGGGAGCCATGTGGATGTTAGGGGGATCTGCTGGGGGTGGGGCTAGTGCAAGGCCCTTAGGTGCAGAGTGTAGTGTGTGGGATAGTGTAGGGGTCTGTGGCTGATGCGGGGTGAACCGGAGTGGTGGTGGTGGGGGAAACAGAGTGGGGTAGTTGGGCATAATAAAGAGTTTAAGAGGCCATAAACACCCAGGGAGAAGGGTAATCAATGCCTCTTAAAGATTCTTTATTTATTACTCCTAGATTAATCTCATGACCTTTAGAAGCCTGCATCCTTAGCCTATGCTATACACATGATGGTGAGTGCATCCCTGGCATTATACGTTACAGTGGTGGAGTGTCACAGTGCTAATGACTCCCAGGGACCTTAACATTGCCTTTGATGATGAAGTCAGCTATCTCTGCAACTTTAGCAGCTCCTCCTTTTCCATCCTGGCTAAGCCTCTTTTGTGCTTTTACCCTCGATGCTTTGTGAACTTGAATCAAGCCATGCTTGTTCATAGGACTTTTGCACCTCTGTTCCTTCAGCTTGAAACACTCTTCTAGATCTCTGCATGGCTGTCTTTTCATCATGTAGATCTCATATCCTAGGTCACTCCCTCAATAACCATTATGTAGATTTTGTAGAGAGGATGTAAAGACCTCTCTGAGAAAATAGAGAAGATACCTACTTCCCTTGCATTCTGTACAACTATGTTCCTAAATCAAACTTAGGGCAATTGGTTTTTAGTATGGCTGCTAATGAAGGGGCAACTTGTAGAAAAGAGAAACAGCGATTCAGTGGCGACTGGTGAGTTTGGGATAACCCATATTGTCTGGGGCTGACAGGCGAGAGAGAGAAGGAAAAATGCAGCTTACCCACCAACCCAAAGGACTTACTTTCTTCTTGCTATTTGATATCCTACAAAGTAACAATACAGATGCTGAGAATGCAATGCTTAAAGCAAAAAGGAAAATGTTCATAATATCCTTTTAGTGCCAATAGCTCCTGTAAAATGCAGAGATTTATTTCCTGTAGTATTATTTCCTTAGTAATCATGTAGCTGTGTCAGCAGACTTCCTGCTTTCCTGGGAAAGATGACATTTTAGATTTGAGTCCTGAGAAAAGATACTAAGTGGAGAGGCAGTTGGTGCACACAGACTGCTTGCCTCTCATGAGATAGCTAAAGTGGATATTTTCTTATGACTCCTTCTAGATTTGGCATGTTTGGTAAAGCCCTTATCTTCCAAGATGTACCAAGGGCTTATGAACTGAATCTCCAGTGCCATTTGATAGGAGAGGACTGGCATGACTGGAGACGATATTCATGTCAAGCTATAGCAATATCCATCTTAAACCTGAGGTTTCCCAAAGAACACTTCCATGGGCTCTGAGCATTTTAGGAAAGAGCCATGTGTTTGGGAAACTGGGTTAAATAACGTTTCTTTCTTGTATGACTTCTCATAACCTTTAGGATAGCAAAGACATTGATCCTAAACCCACCAAGAAGGGCTAATGCATGGCTTCATTCTTAAATGTGTTTCGCCACAGAAACTTTTCCAAGATGAGTCTTAAATGAACTACACTTTCAAAAAGATGTTCTGGATACATACCGTGGATTGTTGGTCCACTCTCTAAAACTATATATAATAGGCAGGAAGAACTGCGACCCAAACTCCTCCCCTACCATCCAAACCTCCTCGCAATTCCTTTAATCTATATACCTTGTAACTTTCTGCCAGGAATCAGTACACCTAGCTTCCAGGTAAATCATTGACTTGGTCATTTGGGTCATACTCAGAGATTATAGAATAGAGGACTGATGTCTCAGGACTACTGTTCCCAAATATTGGACATGTATTACTTACAAATGTATTTTATATCTCAGGATGTAATCTGATCTATGACACCTAAGTAATCTGATTCAAGCTGATTGTGAAGTTTTGGACCTTTAAGGAAGCTGAATTGTAGTTTTTAGCATCCAATTCATCAGAACCTCAGAGAGTCCTGAATGATGTCAAGAGGGTGCAGAATATTGTTTTCCAGAGGACACTTAAAATCCTTGGTGGTGAAGCCAATTTACACTTACTGAGTCAGCAGTTCAAAATGACTCATGCCCCATGCTATGGCATCCACACATAATCCCAGGACCTTGCCACTACTAGATCTTCTGTGTTTGGAAGATCTTGAGCTGAACCTATTTCAGTAGAATTTTTCAGGTCCAGATCTCCACCAAGGAAGCCTTGGGCAAAGGAGTAAGCTTTCAGGGTTTCTTAGGAGTTGGCTTATTCAGAGATCTTAAAAAGGACACAATTTATTTTATTTATTTCTCAGACTTCATAGTTTAATATAAGGACCCTAGCTTGCTTAAGAATCTATAAGTCAGTAGCTTAAAATTTGAAATAACTCGAATGACAAAAGATCAAGGAAAAATTAATGTAAAAAAGAAAAGCAATAAGCTAATTAATGTCATAGTAAGAGACAATTTCTGGGATACACCTTCTGCTACTGATATGGATATTACCATGTGACTTGGGTGAGGCTGTTCACTGACATCCCTAGATGGAAGTTTGTTATCCAAAGCAAGATGAATGCAGATTTCCTTATAAGCATTAAAGAATTTGCTAGAAAGGTAAATTGGAACAGATTATGGATTTTGCAGCTTGGGAACTTCTCATGAAGTTGTTTCACATATTTTAGCTTGTAACGTTTGAAAAGTTTTTTACACATTGTTCAAAATGAAGACACCATTTGAAAAATATTAATGAAATATATAGCTTAGTTATCTTGATGGTCATGTTTCATATCTATTAAATTCTTTCATGTGGGATCTTTTAGAAACTATGATGCATTTTCAAATATTACATGTACACAGAATTCCTTGAAGAGGATCAAGGATCTTAGCTGACTTCATGCATCATTGATAAGTTATATTATGCTCTCAAAGATAATAAATCTTTGAAGTCTGGGGTGGGGGTGGGGGCGATGCACAGTAATGGACCACAACTTCCATTAGCATTATCTTTTAACAACCAAAAAAATTTCTAATTTCAAGCAATTCCCTCCAGATCATGGTTTTCAAAAAAGCAGGGAAGGATAATTGAAAAATTATGATTTTCCTTTTATGAGGTTCTTGATTTCTTGCACATTCCAATTCAATGCTATTTGCCACATTTGAGCTCAGATAAGTGCCTCTCTGATGCTTACAACTCTCTGTTCTTCATCTTTTATATAACTTTTAAAAACAATATTAGAAAATCCAGACTACTAAGAGCTCTTATAAATGATCACAGTACTGGAAGCTCTTACCTCTTTCTAGAGCATGCACAAATGCTACAGCAAACAGAAAAACCAGGATCCTCTTCATTTTTCTGCTGGCAAGTTCTGTAACTCCCGTCTCCTGTACGTTACCCAGTAAAAAGTAGCAGCTCAAAGTAACCAATTCCCTTTTACTAAAATTCTTGACTATGAACTAATCAATTATTAATCTCTACACAAAAGCAAGGGCATCATCCTTGGCCCACAAGAGATAAAATAATATCAATCAAGGCAAATAGACATCCTGGGGGAAAATGTAAGTGATATTAATCATTAACTTTGTCAAACTGCAAAAGAGTCAGGAAATACATAGTATTTTTTTCTCACTGCTGCTTTTTACTAAAATGGACTTAATATATTAATTGGCACATTTCCCTCCCTTTCCCCTTATAAGGTTATGTGTCTTTGGATCCTCCCTGTCCTTCTCATACATAAATGGAAACCTGGAGGTTTTTGTTGGTCTGTTTTTCTTTCTTCAAATTTACTTCAAATTAAGGATTACCTTAAAATACTGAAGATTAGATATATTTAAGTTCTAAGGCTGTGTGGTGGGGACATGAGAAGCCAATTTTTTTAAAAAAGATTTTATTTATTTATTCATGAGAGAGACAGAGAGGCAGAGACACACGCAGAGGGAGAAGCAGGCTCCATGCAGGGAGCTTAACCTAGGATTCGATCCACCCCCTGGGCTGATGGCGGTGCTAAACCACTGAGCCACCTGGGCTGCCCTGAGAAGCCAATTTATAACAGTTGCCTAGTTCCATAATCTTAATGTTGTAAAATTTTATTGATGATGGTGGGATAGTACATTATGTGCTATTACTTTTTGAAATATTGACCTATTTTAATATTTTTTAAATTTTATTTTATTGATTTATGAGAGACTGAGCATGAAAGGGGGAGAGTAGAGGGAGCTGGGGAACCTGACTCCCCACTGAGCAAGGAGCCTGGTGCGGGGCTTCATCCCAGGAACCCAAGATCATGACCTGAGCTGAAGGCAGACACTGAAATGACTGAGCCATCCACACACTATCTTAATACGTATTAAAAATAATACTTGAAGTGAGGCAAATAACTAGGGTGGTGGTGGTGGTGGTGGTGGTGGTGGTGGTGGTGGTAAATGACTTGCTCCAAATCATAAAAACTAGTAGCAAGTCTTGGATTCCCCAGAGCTCATTTAAAGTTCTTTCTGTGGGGGCACCTGGGTGGCTCAGTTGGCTAAGTATCTGCCTTAAGCTTGGGTCATAATCTCAGAGTCTCAGGATTGATCCTGTCCTGCTTTAGGCTCCTTGCTCAGTGGGAGTCTGCTCGTCCCTCTTCCTCTGCCCCTCCTCCTGGCTTGTGCTTGCTCTCAAAATCTTAAAAAATTTTTTCTATGAATTCTATAAAATTAATATATTTTGGGATAATATAACTTGAGAGAGCTCATAGAGGCCTTATGGAATGCAGACAAGGGAACACTTTACAGAAGAGGGAACCAAGTCCCAGATAGGTTTTCTAACTTGCCAGGAGAGGCACAGTTATCATTCATCCCATCATTGGAATGGGATCACTGCCTGGGTCCAGCCCTGTTTTCCAGAAAAAGGGTCAGGTAAGGATTGCTACACAAACTCTGAAATCAAATCCTTACTCAGCTCTTACTGGCTCTGTAACCTTGGGAAGTTTTGTCTAAGCCTTATATTTCTCTATATTTTGTACTGTTCAAAGATTAACTTTCTGCCTACTAAAAATCTTCTAAACTTTTCCTTTGGCTAAACTACGAATTTGCTTTGTAAGTTAATTTGAAAAAGTTTTAGTCTTATTGTAAATTATCTGGAAATCAACTCTAAATGAGGGCCAAAGAGTCTAAAAATAAGAGAAGCCCAGAACTCAGAATATCTGACAGACTAGTTTCCATTTTTAAGATAACACAACATATGTACTCCTATAGTTTTTTTTTTAACAGCATTTTAGTCATCTTTTGGTTAGTTCATTCAAAGATAGAGTATATTATTTCCCATTAAATTTGCTATAGGGTTTAAGATCAGTCTGTTTTTTCACTAAAAACAATAACTTTATCTCTGCTTTTGCAATAACCTCTACCATTTCTGTTTAATGACAAACTACATGTAGCAAGAATTGCGACATCTCATTTAGATGTCCTCTTGAGCAATCTCTACACAGCTTCCAAATGCATTCTCTTGGTTGAGTCTATCTTTTTCTAACTGAAAATTGGCTCTCATATGCTAGTAGCTAAATATATGAACCTTTGCTCCATTTTATTTCTGTAAGTTTCCTTAATCTTTCAAATACTGATTGCTTACAATAGTTTGAAATTTGGGAAGAGATAATCCTAATTGGCTTAAATGAGAAGTCCCTTGTTTCAATGACTAGTACATTGTGTACTAGTTATTAAGTTATGGCAACTTAATTTTATTACTGAAATAGATGTTTAAAGGGAATTATTTATTAAATATTTAAGCATTAGAATTTTGCAGGAGTGGTTTTGCCTGTGAAGAATTGATAGTTGTAGTTGGGGCTTTTAGCCGTCTCAGTTGGTAGAGCATGTGACTCTTGATTTCAGGGCTATAAGTTCCAGCACCACGTTGGGTGTAGAGATTACTTAAAAATAAAATCTTAAAACAAAAACACCGAATTGAAGTAGTCTTCTGTTTATCTTGCCATTGGCTTTGGAAGAGATGTAGGTTTCTTACCTAAATAAATCTAGTTCTAAGCAAAATTGTGAGACAAAGCCCATCTTTAGTTCTTTCTCTATTATGTTTTCTTATTTTAATAACACTTAAACCATATACTATTTACCAGAGCTGTATTTTGAACATTTCTATGCTACTATAGGCTGCTCGACTTTTCCATTATAGTATAACAGTAGAAATTACTTTCAAAATGATTTTATTTGCCAGATTGTTCTTTTAATTCAGCTTCTCTTATGCTATTAAAGTGCAGTATCAGTACCTTGCCCTGATGAATGACCTGAATAAATAGATATTAGTAGCATAAAGTATGTATTATCCTTAAAGGTGATGTGCAGAGTAGGAATAGAATATGACCATCATTGCAGGATGTGCTGCTTTTTTTTTTTTTTAAAGATTTTACTTATTTGAGAGAGAACACAGCAGGCAGAGGGACAGAGGGAGAAGGACAAGCAGACTCCCCACTGAGTGGGGGTCCTGATGCAGGGCTCAGTCCAAGGACCCTGAGATCATGACTTGAGTCAAAGTCAGATGCTTTACTAACCGAGCGATCCAGGCCACCCCTGGTACTCCCCCTCCCCAATTCTTATTTTATTTTATTTTTTATTTTTATTTTATTATTATTATTATTTTTTAAATTTTTATTTATTTATGATAGTCACACACACACACACACACACAGAGAGAGAGAGGCAGAGACACAGGCAGAGGGAGAAGCAGGCTCCTTGCACCGGGAGCCCGACGTGGGATTCGATCCCGGGTCTCCAGGATCGCGCCCTGGGCCAAAGGCAGGTGCCAAACCGCTGCGCCACCCAGGGATCCCTCTTATTTTAATTCCAGTATAGTTAGCAGGTATTGTTAAATTAGTTTCAGGTGCACAATATAGTGATTCAGTACTTCCATACATTACCCAGTGCTCATCACCAGAAGTACACCCTTGAATCCCCACCACCTAGTCCATCCATCTCCCCACCCACATTCCCTCTGGTGACCATTAGTTTGTTCTCTATAGTTAAGAGTCTGTTTCTTGGTTTGCATCTCTCTCTTTTTTCCCTCTTTATTTGGTTCTTAAGTTCCACATAAGAGTGACATTTTTGGTATTTGTCTTTCTCTGACTTATTTTGCTCAGCATTGTACTCCCTAGCTCTAACAGTGTCATTGCAAATGGCAAGATTTCATTCCTTTTGATGGCTGAAAAATATTCCAATGTATACATCACATCTTCTTTCTTCTATTCATCTGTCGATGACTACTTGGGCTGCTTCCCTAATTTAGCTATTATAAATGATGCTGTATAAACATAGAGGGGTATGTGTATCCTTATGTTTCAGTGTTTTTATATTTTGGGGGTAAATATCTGCTGGTGCAATTACTGGATTATAGGGTAGTTCTGTTTTTAACTTTTCAAGGAAACTCCATGGTGTTTTCCAGAGTGGCCGTAGCAGTTTGCAATCTGACCAACAGTGCAAGAAGGTTCCTTTCTCTCCTTATCTTTGCCAATACCTGTTTGTGTTTTTGACTCTAGCCATTCTGACAGGTGTAAGGTGATATCTCATTGTAATTTTGATTTGCATTTCCCTGGTGCTGAGTGATGTTGAGCACCTTTTCCTGTATCTTTTGGCCACCTATATTGTATGTCTTCTTTGGAGAAATGTCTGCTTATGTCTTCTGCCCATTTTTTGAGGGTTTTTTTGGTGTTTTATAAATTCTTTATATATTTTGGATACTAACCACTTATCCGATATGTCATTTCCAAATATTTTTCTCCCATTCAGGAGGTTGCCTTTTAGTTTTGTTAATTGCTTCCTTTTCTGTGAAAAAGCTTTTTATTTTGATGTCGCAATAGTTTACTTTTGTTTTTATTTCCCTTTCCTCATGAGCCATATGTGGAAAACTGTTGCCATGGCTGATGTCAGACACCTTTCTGCCTGTGTTCCCTTCTAGGGTTTTTATGGTTTCAGGTCTCACATGTAGGTCTTGAATCCTACATGTGTTTATTTTTGAGTTTTTGTGCATAGTATATTTTGAGTTTACTTTGTGTATAGTATAAGTGGTTCAATTTCATTCTTTTGCATGTAAGTGTCCAGTTATTTCCAACACTATTTGTTGAAGAGACTGTTTTTCCAGTTGGATATTCTTTCTTGCTTTTTCAAAGATTAATTGACCATATAATTGTGGTTTATTTCTGTGTTTTCTATTCTTTCCCATTGATTTATGTGTCTGTTTGTGACAGTACCTACTGTTTTGATCACTACAGCTTTGTAATGTAACTTGAAGTCTAGAATTGATACATACAGCTTGGCTTTTGTTTTTCAGAATTACTTTGGTTATTCTGGGTCTTTTGTGGTTCTACACAAACTTTAGGATTGTTCTATCTCTGTGAAAAGTGCTGGTGGTATTTTGATCAGGATTGCATTAAATGTGTGTATTGTTTTGGGTAGTATACACATTTTGACAATATTCTTCCAATCCATGAGCGTGGAATGTCTCTCCATTTTTT